GATTGAACCTCATCAATAATTGGGTCGAGTACACCTTTGATTCTCCTAGCTATAATGGAAGCAAACACTTTGTAGTCATTATTTAATAGAGAAATGGGTCTCCAGTTTTCAATGAAGGTATGATCTCGTTTAGGTTTTGGAATTAAAGTAATCAATCCCTGTGTTAAAGAAGGGGGAAGACAACCTTTCTCGATGCTTTCTAAAAAAACTTCAAGGAGAAATGGAGCGATGTCTTTTACGAAGGTTTTATAAAACTCTGCTGTGAGGCCATCAACTCCGGGTGATTTGTTCGCTTTGAGGTGTTCAATAGCAAAAACTACTTCTAAATTAATATTCCTATCACAGAAGTCTTTGCCGCTTTGAGTTATCTGTGTGACATTGCAAATAGAATTTAGAAAAGAGGTTGCCGAGTGTTCACAGTAGTTGGACCGATAAAGGTTACTGTAAAAATTAAAGCAGAAATTGTTTTTTCGGTCGTCAGTTATGATGCCATTAACACCCTGGATGGCTTCTGGCTCTTGGGCGCATTCTTTCCGCATCTGTCTCCTTCTCTGTTCATCGTGCAACAGTTTTCCCTCTTATTTATTTTATACCAGCAACAGCAAACGACGTGGGCTTCTTCATCTCGGGCTCACCATGACGTGTTTATAAAAATGCGTTCACACTAATACTGCAAACGGACACCACTAGCTTTTTGATTGTCAAGACTGAAAACCTGTCACATTTCCACGTGCCGTATAAAAACGACGGTATTGGTCAAATACGTTTCCGCTTGTTGTTTCAACATTAAAATATTTCCCAACTATAGCAGTGACTACAAAGGTTTATAAAACTAAACTACAACTTTTAACATCATAAGAATATATTTATTTTGTGTTGAATGACTGCATTCTGTCCCAGTTCAACGTGTGTCCAGCGCCGTAGCAAATATAAGCTTTGTTTTTCTGATTTCATTTCCGGTTTTGTCTTTAAGTAACCTTGATTAAAACTTGACAGCACCCCAACTACTGTACTCAAAAGCTGTCCTGTAATGCAAGGTTTTACTTACTATCTCATTATGAAATTCATCTATGACACAGATTGAATAAACACAGAAAAATAGGCTTACTTTAAGAAAATCAATTTGCCAATAATTTCGCCAAAGAACTTGCTTTAATTATTTTCTCGGGAAACTATATGGTGAATTAAGGTTTTCCTGAACTGTAAACATCAATTATATTACCAAACAGTTTACTGTATATAGTTAATGTCATATTTACGTTTTGCTTTTTAAATTGAACAACTTAAGACAATAAATAATCGAAAAGCACCTTCAAAAGCGTCAACTTTCAGACAACGCTATAACTGGCTAATGCACACGTCAGTCATTGTGTCCTTGCCACCAACTTCCGGCTGTTCGAAGACGATCAAGTGAACTGTCCTCGATTGTTTACCTTAGCGGGTCAGTCATTGGCTAGACAGGTATATTTCAGTAAACTTGATTTCCATTCACCACTCCGGGTTACCTTTTATTTGTTTGGGAATGCGCCGCTAACGTTAGCTAATGTCTCCTGCACACGTCTAAACCCACGAGCGCTTGGTGCTATATCGCTAGCTATCCCGGACTTGCTATTTCAACATGCTTGTTGGCAGGTAGGCAGCTGTCGCCCCCCCGTCGCCGTCTGTAACAAAAGCGTCCGTCTCCTTGCGTGTGTTTACAGTCGCTGTGTTTTGGCTCTCCGATGTTCGGAGGGAGTCCAGACTGGGTGGCTCGCTTGCTGGTTTCACCATGACTACTGAGTGACTGTCCTCTCGACTCACTATGAACAGCGAGGAGGAGTTCTACGATGCCGAGACAGGTGAGGCAAGCTACCCAACAGCTGTCGAGTCATAAAGTTTCTTCCGCACGTTTTAATGCTCACTAAATTGGGGTAACACATGTCATGCATACTTCCACCAAATAATTACAATTCAAAATAAGGCAATCGGAATATTCTTTAATGCAGGCAAATATGAACGCAACCCAGTTATTCAGTCGTTTGAGGAGTTTAAAATATGTAGTTATCGAAAAGATCTTTTTTTATGTACAGTGATCCCTCGCTCTAACGTGGTTCACTTACTGCAGCTTGCTGTTTCACTGATTTTTTTCGTGCAGTTTTTTTCATGCTTTTAAACAGTGAATTGCGTTCTGCATCCTGATTGGCTCAGGCACTGACCGACGTGAACAGTCTCGCACCTCGTCTCTGTACAGGTTGTCAAATTTACCTTTGCAAATTTTTGGTCTTTGGTTTATTTGTATCAGTGGCAGATGCTGGTCTGTCAAGGAGGGGAAGCTCAATTTCGGCCTACATCATAAAATGTGTCCCTTTATTTTTCCGTGAATTCTACTCTCAGTTCCTTTTCAAAAAAATGAAAAGGAAAAGGATGCCTTCACCATAAGATCATTGGCTCATTTCGCTGTCAATCAAAAAGAGCTCCGGCCTCAGAGAGATCATCCAATCGTCAGGAAGAAAAGCTGAGCTTCTGCACGCCCACTGTCCCGAGACTCCCAGAGATGCTGAGCGTCCAATGGGCGGGACAAAACCAGCATTTATTCAATGACTTGTCTCGTTTCAATGCATTGGGACAACCTAACTGAACTCTCGAGACGCCCAGCGTCCGCGTGATCGACGCTCAGTGTCCACACAGTTTAAAGCACAGTGAAGCTGTGGGAATGAATGAGAAGAGAGTCGAGTCATAACCAGTAATAAGAAGCTGATTCGGAACAAAAGTTGAGCGCATTGGAACGCATATTTAGTCAATGACATGTCCACACAATTGTACGTACACACATATATTTGATCACTTTACTTTTTAATATTTTAGGGGAAGCTGAGTTTCCCTTGCAGTCTTAGAGCAATCGCCTCTGCATTGTATGCATAGTTCAGTATTGTATAAGAACTGTAAAAAATAAAGCTGAGTATCAAGTACCAAGAACAACTTTATTGTCAAATGTGCACATTTGACAAAAATGTCGTCCCTCTCACATTTTTTTACTTTTTTTTTAATAAATTCTACTTCACGGATTTCACTTATCACTGGTTCTTTTTGGAACGCAACCCCACAATCAACGAGGGATTGCTGTACTTTAAAAAAAAAACAACAACAACAAAAATATCAGTCAATACTCAGCAACACTTTCAGGCATTGTAACCACTTGCACACACCTCACAACATCTTTAAAATTGCGCTGTATTTAAAAAATATATATAAATTGTGGCATAAACTGACACCAGACCTTATGAGATTTAAATCACATCCATTTTCAAATGTAAACGTAGTGATGCACTACATGAGAAGTTTCTACCGATAACCGATAATTTCCTCCTTTTGTAGGGCTGATTCCATTCATCCATTTTCTGATCTGCTTTATCCTCACGAGAGTCGCGGGCGTGCTGGAGCCCATCCCAGTTGTCGCTGGGCAGTAGGCGGGATACACCCTGAACTGGTTGCCAAGCAATCGCAGGGCACACATAGACAAACAACCATTCATGCTCTCAATCATACTTAGGGACAGTACTGTATTGAGTAAACCGAGCATGCATGTTTTTGAAGTACCTGGAGAAAACCACGCTGGCATGGGGAGAACATGCAAACTCCACACAGGAACGCCCACCATGTCAATCTATCTATCTAGCTTGATATACAAACTGGAAATATATCTACACTCATATTTGAGATTTAATTTTGATTTAGCTCATCATGTAATCTTTATTTCTTGTTTTCTTCTCTGCAAATAAACTTGCCCTGTCTTGCTTTGCTTTGGTGTGATTGGCTTGCTGCCGTTACTTTGTATGCTGCAAAGAAATTGTACAGAGGCTTGTGAGTGGATATTTGTTGATGTGCCCAAATGAAACGGGTTGTCTTGTCTCAGGGCTTGATTCAGATGATTCCTTGGAGGTCAGTTTCAAAGATGCCCTGGTGTTTGACAGCAGCAATCAAGTCACAGATGGCTGCGCTGCAGAGTACGCTGCAGTGTGGCGGCATAGGTGAGGAACCTCGCATGATATCCATCTATCTGGGCTGCAGTTATTGAATATTTTAGTCAGTGGCGGGCCGTGCATTTCAACCTTCGGCCTTCAGTGACGTCACATACATACACAATATAGGCTCGTCAAGCAGCACTTAATTTCAGGAGCATTGAAAACCATCAAGTATGCATTCACAATTAAGAGCAGGAAACTAAATTTACAGATAGTCAAAAATAAAAAGATGATTTAAAAATACGAAATAAAATGCCACCCAAATTACGCTGTGATCTTCAACAAGTCTGTCCAATAAATTGCGCAATGTCGCAGTTTCATATAAGACACCAAGCAAACAATAACAAAACAAACTATTCTTTGAAAATAAACAGATCATTTGCATTTTGAAAATCGGCGATTCAACAGCAAATAACTGAAAATGTTGAGCAGCTGAGCTTGAACGAACTTTCGTGCACGAAGGTGACTACAATGCGCCATTATAAATTGCAGGTGAGCAGATTTATTTGATACATTTTTGTATCTTTGTCATTTTATTTTGTTACCATGAATTTAATACTAACGAAATAAAATGACAAGAAGAAATGTAAAATAAAATTCATTTACTCACCAATG